TCATATCCCAAAATTTAAAATATATCTGGTGGTTAATAATTGTTGACCCCCTAGCCTCCTTAATGTCTTATCACCCCTTAACAGCTTAAAGGCCTTGTATCCTATAAAGTGGTGTTTAGTAAATGAAAAGTTTTGTACCATCTTAAGTTAACATGAAAAATCAGGTAAACTTATTTTACTAATTTATTATATATAGATTATTTCACAAATGTTGATTATTTACACAGAGATTAATTTCAGCATGGGCTTTTATTTCCTGACAATGTTCTAAAAACATGGGTCTAGTCACTTGTTTAATATCTATACAAGAAGAGAACTTTGGGTATTGAAATACAATTCTACAAATAAAAGACTATAAAAAGAAGTTATATAATAATAATTTATAGGCTAATTGAAGCACTGTGAAATAAATAAATTGTCAAGAGTGTTAGGAAATTAACATAATTAACATTTATTCCTTTGAGTTATCTTTCTCATAGGGGAAAGTGAACCTTAAAATAGGAATTGCAACTCAAATTTCCTGAACTTTTATCAATTTTACTCGTTATTCAATTTGGCATTGGGAATGAAGGACAATTTACAGAGTTCTTCAGGTGCTACAGTCAATGCATATGCAGGCTCATTTGAACACAGCTCACAGTGCTGGTACTTTCTATGTATTTTCCTAATATGGCATATGCTGTATGAATGGTCATGCAACAATAACAAATAAATCAATAAATAAATAAAATAGAAAGGGTTATAATGAGACTTATAAGGTTCAAATTGGGGCTTTTTGTCAGTGTTGGTTTCTGCTGTGTCTCTAAGTTGTTAAGATTTGCTATTTCACACAGATAAAAGTTGCTTTAGTTAAAATTCTATATTCACAGTTTTTAAACTCGCAAAGGGTAAGTTGTTTAGGTAACTAGTTTTCTTTATCACTAATAAGCACTAAAGGCGAGATTACCTAACTACCTAACAGCAGGGTGGGGGGGGGGGGGGGTGTTAACACGTATTGTTCCACAGGCTAGGTTACAATCCAAACCATTTCCTACAATATTTTCTTTTTAATAGTATGTGCTTACTGTTGGAAATTAAGACACATATGCATATCTCAGGGGGCATTTTCCCATTGAAAATATCAGTTCAAACCCAGGTGCCATTTGCATGTAATATGATAGGTGTTTATCTCTCATCTGAGCAGTTACATGTAGCATAATTATTTTATGTTACTTTACACATTTATCTCATTTGGGATTAAGATGCATTAGTCGGTGCATATATATGTACATGCAGTTTACATTCATGCATTAGCTAGTGGGTACAAATACAGGTTAGCTAGGGGATACAAATACAAATCCACATGTGTGTAGGAGTTAAAGATTCATAGTACTAAGATAAGATAAACTTCTCCAGCATTTTAGGGTATTAGATATAGTATAGGTTTCCACTGACTAAGCATATTAATTTTTATGCTCTCTATCATATATCCATTTTCTACAGCCTTAAAAAGAGTTTGAAGTCTATTATTTAAATAACCTATTCCATAACATATTTTTGCAGGGGGGGGGGGGGGGTTAAGGTGTGAAAAGATCATGCATTTTTGATACAGCATCAGCTGGGAAGGGGTTTAGAATAAAGGATTTAGTCATAGGTGCCTTCAATGTCTGCTGCAGTCCAACTACATTTACAAATGAGCAGTAAAATACAAAGTCCTCCATTGTGTGTCTTAGTTTGAAAGGTACTTATTATATACAAGATTTAATCAATTTTAAATGGTCCTTTGAAGAGTTCGCTTTCAAAATAAGTGGTACAGGTATAACATCATTCTCTCAGAACTGGCAAGATACATAACCAAATATCACAAAACATGTTCTGTAGTTTACAAATCGTGCATTTGAACACTTTTAAAATTATTGTCAACAATACAGGAATAGCATAATCATGCTGAAAGGGAAAGGGGGGGGGGGGGGTTAAAGAGTAAAGGTGCTCATTCATCTTGTTTCTAATCTCTGCATGAAAGTATTTTATCACCTAAAAAATAAATAAGAAATAAAATTCAAATTTATAAACAAATAAATAAAAAGGGGGGGGGATCTAAATAAAACGTATTTTCTACATAATTTTCTTACATTAGTCCAGGTAGTAGTTCTCTCTTGCCAGCTGGATATTAATAATGGAATCTGAGACCCAAAGCAATATACAAGTAACTTGGAAAGATATAAATTCAGGAGGGGGGGGGGGGGCGCTAGGCCCAATTAATTTGAAGGGAGACCAGAATTATTTTAATGCAGGATAGTTCTACAGTGGGTTGGCAATGAGAGAGAGTGATGTTCACGATGGATGGGTTGCTGAGGGTTTTGAGTAGGCTAGGAGTCCATGGTGGGTGGTTAAATTGAAGTTGCCTACCCCCACCAGGTGGCGGTGAGCACCTACGGTGCCCATGTGGCGAAATTGTCACCTTCAATTTAACCATTGAACTGTTGATTTTGTTGACTTTTTGTGGTTGATGATGATATATGTGATGGTTGATGTTGATATATGTGATGTTGACTTTGAAAATTATATCTTATACAATTTAAAGCTAAAGCAAAATAATATAATTATAAAAGATAATTTGTGTTGAAATGTGTCCGTAGCACGAATGAGGTCAACCCAGCGTGCTACTTTTCCCGTTAGGGAGGGCACAACTTATGTTGATGTTGGGGGTACGCCATTTTGCCGGCTGCCTCACTGTTGTGTAGACCACTGTGGACAATACCTGCCAACTCGAATAAAACATTAAACTGAAATACGTAGCATTTGTTTATTATATACATAGGTCTTTGATAATACCGCATATTTGAGTTCATCTCACAATATGCGCCGTTATCAAAGCTCTATCCTTTTATTATATGTCATCATTCACCTCCTTTTTGTGGAAAAAACTAATAAATGTGATAAGCCGGAATTTATTTATCCATCCATACAGTGTCGGTACTTAGTCACTAGGTTTACGGGTTATCTCCCCTTTTCTATGCATCAATGAAAGTGAAAGGTGGGTGATGAAAGTATCCGATTTATGTTTTTGTATTATGAAATACCCTCCCACCTCAACCCTTGAGCTAGGTGTTAAGTATATACCCTTTCTCCTTTTGTTTGTTTAAATAACGTTTTTCATTGTTTTACATGGTTTGGCTATACCAAATTTATTAGAGTTATGCAAATGTTATTGAGAATCTTTTTCTGCTGTGGGTTTTTGTTTTTGTCTTTTCAGATATTAGAGATTTCGTTGAAGGAGACTAACGATGCTGATCTGAATTGCCTGCTATTTCCGTATTCTGGGACCTTTGGAATGATCTCTGGCCGAATACCATGCATGACAAGGGTCAACTTGGCGAATTATCCATTCGAGGAGTTCGGGGAAAGACAGTAAACTATACTTCACAGTGGTCGTATTGGCGAAATCGTCACCTTCAATTTAACCATTGAACTGTTGATTTTGTTGACTTTTTGTGGTTGATGATGATATATGTGATGGTTGATGTTGATATATGTGATGTTGACTTTGAAAATTATATCTTATACAATTTAAAGCTAAAGCAAAATAATATAATTATAAAAGATAATTTGTGTTGAAATGTGTCCGTAGCACGAATGAGGTCAACCCAGCGTGCTACTTTTCCCGTTAGGGAGGGCACAACTTATGTTGATGTTGGGGGTACGCCATTTTGCCGGCTGCCTCACTGTTGTGTAGACCACTGTGGACAATACCTGCCAACTCGAATAAAACATTAAACTGAAATACGTAGCATTTGTTTATTATATACATAGGTCTTTGATAAATGATTTCGTAAAATCAGGAAATTGTGAGTTTTAATCAAAATTCTGTGATCCAAAAGCAATGGAGATTTCACTTTAAATAGGAAAAATAAAAATGACTGATATTCAAATTTCATAATAATATTAGTTTTAAGTAAATAAAGAATAAATAAAAAAAAAAGAAAAATTAAATGCTAGAAAGCTTGTGTTTCTTAACAGAACACATTTTTAACAGTCTTAAAATTGTCCAAATTCAGCTAAACTTAGACGACAAAACAAGCAAATTCAAATACATTGTATTTGTGGTCCCTCGCTTTCGGTGTTTTTTTTATGTGAGATGTCATTATTTATGGCATAATCTATCAAATATGAACGCCCTATCATATGCCTTTTAAAAGTAACCACCAAAGTTGATTTAATTTTTTTGAAAATTAAGTGAAACACGAGGATCAATTGGTCAGAAATCATAGCATGCCCGGAAATATTTTGTAACAGGTTATACACGTGTCAAATTTGAAAGGCCCATCTCTTCTCAAAAGTTATAAGGAAAAATTGCATTTTTGAAAAGTAGGTCAAACGTAAAGGTCAGGGCCACATAGTCAAAATTATAATGTATCAAGAAAGTTCTTGCAACAAGTAATATACATGTGAAAGGCAAAAGCCTTTATTCTTCTAATCAAAAATATATGGCAATGTTAAAGTTTTCGAAAATTAAGTCAAAATTCAACGTCATGGTCACAGTGTCAAAAATCATAATGTATTTAGAAAGGTTTTGCCACAGGTAATACACATCTTTAGTACAAAAGCCCTGTTTCTTCCCATTCAAGAGTTTTGTCCTATTTAAAGTAATTTAAATTTTTGAAAAGTAGGAAAACTCCAAAATCAAGGGGTCAAAAATCAGTGCATTTAGAAAGGTCTTGTCACAGATAATAAACATATGTACATGTATAATAAAAATCAGGTCTCTTCTTTTTCCAAAGTTTTTGTGACAGACGGACATACTGACAGACTTACAGACGAATGAGATTAATATTCCCTTACTTTGGGAAAAGTGGGGGACGATTAATATATTACTTTATATGGGAATAACCGGACCAGTTTTATATACTGGCAATAAAAGTAAGTTGCAGCTTGTACCATTTAAAGGGTAAAGATGCTACGATCCGACTTCTTGGACTGTTCAGTGCTTTTAATCGCCTTGTCAAGTTTATGATACTTACACAAAACTGAGATTGGCTTTGAGTCTTTGTATGGTCCTGGTTGTCGAGTAAGATCATTTTGTGATGTGCAATTGAATACAGCGCCATTGTCATTTCTGGAAACATTGTACGTAAAGCTTACGTTAAGAAAATAAGAACAATTATCTGTCTTAATAAAAGTATTATTTGTAAAATTTGAAGAGTATATTAATTCTTGGTCAGTTGAGCGTCCAGGAATTTTCCAAATCTGAAGGTATCCTGGGGGATTTCCGACATCAGCGTTACATATGAAACGCACGGATTGATTTTCCTCTAGTTTGTTGGTGTGTTCTACGATAAATTCGTCTGGTTCCGATGCTTCGGCTGCTCAAATAACAAAATCAAAAAAGAAATATGATAAAGATATACATTAATATACAACTAAAAAAAAAATATGGATTAATTTTGAATCCATACTTTAGTATCTTAAGTAGATCTATAAACGTAAAAAACCATTATCTTACGGAAAAAAAAGTAAAATCCAATGAAATTAATTGGAGACAAGTATAATGAGATAGTGTTATCACGATGAAAGAAAACATTTACTTCTAAAGATGGAGAAAAAACTTGGACATAATAACAAATGTCAGGTTCTTAATTTTTATTTTACCGGAAGGAGTAAATACAACATTTATATCATGAAATACGAACATTTATCAAGCCCAAATGTTCATTGACACAATACAAATCGAAAGCGGAGCAAACACAAACCTTAAAAAAATCAGAGGTAGGATCAGGGGGCATGATCTAAACTTGTATTCAGTCCCACCTAGTGAATTCTAAATTTAGAACATGACACAACAAAATACTTTAATCAGAGATACTGAAGCATCTACTGGCTTAAACAACCGTTTTGCTATTATTTTAAAGATATCAAATAAATTTCTTCTTTTTCGGGGGTGGTTGTGTCAATTATTTATCAACATGAAATTTTATCATGTTCACATTATTTTCCACAATGTATATTTTATCTAACTTTGCTGTGAAAGCAAAATTGGATTGTCTTCAATTTCAAATGATATTTGAATCGAAACCTATAACCTGACGTGTGCTACAGAGTAATGTTTTTGACGGCACGTAACGGCACACACGAATAATGAATGATCTCAACCTGGTAAATTCAGAATTTAGAACATGATACAGTTACATTGCTTATAAAATTACCTTGGAAAATGACTGATGTTTGGTTTTGATTATCATCAATAGCATCATTTAAATAAAATTCTATCCAACATCGGTACAATCCTTCGTCACTGCAAACAGCATGATTTATAATCAGTGTAGCTGTGGTGAGGTTTTCCTGTGGTGCTATAAGGTGTGTTCTGTTTTCTAGATATTTCTTAAAGTCTTTGTGTATACTTGGGTCTGGCTTTCCAGAAACCGAAAAATAAGCCACATCCACATACTTATTTCCAAGATGTTTTTGCCATATAATTTTTCTGTCTGAAATTTCCTCTTTATCCTCCCTCGCATAATTACAAGAAAGGGTGATGTTTCTCTGTAACTTTACTCTTACTTCAGATGGTGTAAATATTTTGAGCAAGGAAACACCTGATGGAAAACAAAATTTATTCTGCACTTAATCACATCAATGATCCATAATGGGAATCTATTGAAAAAAAATCATTGCAATACATGCAAACGAAAAGAATGCATAATAAACTTCCTTAATTGAAATATATAGAGATAACGAACAGTATTCAAGCTCAAGTATTCAAGTATTTGCTGACAATGTCTTTGTATCGACCATAGAACTTACGAAATGATGACTTTAAACGAGACTGCTTATATGCTTGTTTCATCAACTTGTTGGTCAAAAATTTACCACGTGTTAGAAATTGTACATACGTATCGAATCAACTGAGATATATTAATCCTTATGCAGGTGATGAAGGTATATCGCTTCATAAGAAAGGTAAGCCGATAACGATTGAAAAGTAAAAGTCATCACGTTTATCATGAAGCTTGGTTGGTTAGATTACCATTAACGTCTTTTTCATGTAAAATATCCGAATACGAAGCAGATGTGTCAGACCCTGTGGTATCTTTGATCTCAAGCTCACCGGGATATATCGTTTCGACTAAAGAACAGATATAACCATTGTTAATTGACAATACGTCGTCGATATATCTAAATGTCGAGGTGAAAGCCACAGCAAGTATTTTCTTCTTTTCGCGTATAAGATTTTGGACAAAGTCTGCTTCACATGAATACAAAAATAGATCTGCTAATAACGGGGCGCAATTGGTACCCATGGGAATTTAATTAGATTTTTCGAAGACCTAGTCTCCAAACTGAAAATTAAATTAAAGAATTTGATTCTCATAGTTCTGGACGTTTTTTCAATTATTTTTGTACAGCATTTAGAAATTGTTAGAGTATATTTGTTAATATCATTGCAACAAAGGGTCTATATGTGTGCGATCAATGTTACAAATTATATTATTCCACCGTACTTGCTTTGGTTCGGAAAACGTAGGAAAAGTGTATGTGAAATAATAAATTATTTTTTCAAACATTTGTACTAACAGAAAATTCCAGATATTCATTACCTTATTATTTGAAAAACATGAGGAATTTTCTTTTTTAAAAAGTAATTATTGAGAAATCATAGATCAAAGGATGATAGTGGCCTGGATATTGAGATCTATGCCAAAATGAACCACGCATAAATGAAATACAAGAAAGAAAAAATACATGTATTCAAAAAAATACCTACTGTTTGCCAGAAGAAGGACCAGAATCACAAGTCTTGTCATCTCGTTTCGTATCCAGATTGCTCAGTCAATGACTTTCAATTTTTAAAAAATAACCATGCTCTAAACAAACGAAAAATATTAATATATATCCTTTATGTTCATGCAGAAAGTATGAAGATACTTATTATTTATTTTTTGCCTGTAGAAATTATCTAATCGCTATAAATAATCCTTTTAACCACCTAAATTTACTTGACGAATTGGTCATTATTACATGTAACAGAATTTTGTTATTATGGGGTGATGTTAATACTTTTCTAATTACGTTTTTAATTTCTAATATATATTCCTGTCAAAATATTATAACTGCTTCTAGGGACAGACCTGTCCTGAAGGACGTCTTGACCAAATTTCATGAAAAAATTAACATAAAAAATGTTGAAAAACTCAGGAAAAATTCACAAGTTTTAAATATTATAGTACAGAATTGCGTGGTTTACTTCCCACTGAACATTTGTGGAAGTTAAAACTTATACACTTTTATAAAAAGACATTATCTTAAAAATGTCCCTTGGATATGATGTCATATAGAAAAACTTTAGCTGAAATATTGCAAGGGGATGACATACCCCTCTTTCAAACCAGTTTTCACTATTTTTTAAATTTTCCTAGCAGGAAGGAAAGCGAATATATATTTTTATAAGAGTGTATATATTTGGACTCAGTTCCTTTTGTTTAAACCTTAAATATCCGGTCTCATCGAATGCTGATTTTTTCAAATGATATAACATTTTTTAACAGGATTAAACTATTCAATACAACTTTTGGAAAAAAAGCAAACAAGGACCTCAGAAGGACACCAGAATTGGGATCAGAGGCAATGAGGGATTTAGCATCCCCTGCCGACCGGTCCCACCCGTCGTGTGATCCTTGTCATGATCGATCGGGAAATAACGGGAAATCCATCGACAATTCAGTAAATGATGGCCCAATGATAAATATGAAGAGTGCCAGTCAGTATTTGTTTCAATCATAAATAAGTTTTTTTTTTATTTAAAAGGTCATTGTATCGCTCATAGAAGTTTTAACGAGACTGCTGACATTCTAGATATTCCTGTTTTATCCACTTGTTCGTCAATAACTCACATCGTTTTAGAAATTGTTCTAAGAATATGTGTGATTTGTAATTCTGTACCATTGTCACAATGCTATTATACTGATTGTAAACGTAAATACTAAATTTTTTACTTCACTATTAATATGCACGCTACTTCTTCTTAAATGGCAATTTATCATGAAAATCAAATATAGGATTCAAAATATAAGCAAAAATCCCTAGATGACTGGGGAAAAGAATTGTTTCACAATTTTTAAAATTAATCATTGATGACAAATTAAAGGTCATAATCTACACCCGAAAAATAGTTGTCTATATATAAAAGAAAACTATATACATACTGTGTGCCCTATGATTATAATTTACGAGTTTGGTAGAGTTAGCAGTTAAACATTTATTTAATTCTGATGTATTAGGCACTCAATAAATTCAGGACCAACTAAAATCGTTGTAGTAAACATTTTAGATACACTATGTAAATGAGGGTACCGTTAGTTTCAAATTGATATTAAACAGAAAAGACTGACCTCAGAAAGGCGAATTTTATTATGAATAAATTTGCTGATGCATTAAGGTAGCCAGTGCATTGCGTATTGTAGAGTAGGATTTCTCACACAGCCAGCACCCTGGAACATGTACCGTGGAGTAGAATTTATCCTAACAACCCCCCCCCCCCCCCCCCCCCGAAAAGTGTACCATAGAATATGATTTATCTTACAGCCAACCCTTCGAACCCTTCGGAGCATGTACCCTAAAGTAGGATTTCTTTTACAGCCAGCCCCCCCCCCCCCCCCCCGGAACATGTACAACAGAGTAGTATTTTTTCCTACAGCCAGCTCCCGGAACATGTACAATGGAGTAGGACTTTCCTCAGTAGAAAAATATCACAACTCCCCCCTAATTCTTTCTCAGAGTAGGATTTTCACCTATATTATATGGACAATATTTAGGATAAACGTTTATCTGAGTTTTCTACGAGAAATGGAAATATAAGTAAGAAATATATTAAGTACTTTTGATTATAGAAGAGACAAATTTAGTATAAATTCTAAAAATATTTAGTTATTTTGTGATTTGATTAAATGATTGTACTCCAAAAGCCCAATATTTTATATCTGCATGGATTGATCCTTTGTGCTAAGTCAGTGGCGTATACTAGAATTCCTTATAGGCAAAAAGGTTGTAGCAAACACATCATTTTCTCCCAGTAATAAAATTTTAGTTGAATAAATGGAGGGGAGTTGATAATAAATCATACCTATTGATTTTATTTTGATGCAAATGCCAAAAAAAAAATAATAAATCTTAGCAATCTGCACTTTTATACCTATCCGATTATGTTCACAGTTTTAATTTATATATATTTAAGTACTAAACTATTCCTTTAGCTGAAAGTTTTTAAGCCAAAGTTCATGTGTTTTTAATAGTAATTTTGTATCAGAAAATTTCCTCTAAAGCAACAGGAGTTTATAATGAGTACAGGAAAAGAAATTGATAATTTGAGTTATATTTGTTTAGTTGGAAATTCAACGTTTTGATCGAATTTCGATTATTCAGTAAGGACGTTTCCATATTTTCTAAAAGAGTAAAAGAGTTCTCAATTTTGTTCAGTGGTCCTCATATCACGATATAACTGAACTGTAAATACGTCTACAATATTTCTTTCACTGGTAAAATTAAATTGTAGATGTGTAGATTGCATAGATGCTGCATTTGACCCACCCAATACCTATACAGAGGAAGCTCCTTCTCTAACCACACTTTGCACCTCAGACTACGCGTACATCTGTGACTTCACTCTAGCCTATACATTAGCAGAAAGGAATATACGCCACTGTGAGGGCGAGGTAAATGTGAAAAAATCTAATATTTGTTATTTTCCTTTGAAATATATATATGATTTAATTCTGGTAATAACGCTGTATTTGATTGGATAAAAAATTTACTTTCTATGAAATAAGATACCTACGTCACAATGACTTGCGTCAAAAAACGTATCAATCCCCTTAACACTACATTCAAATTTTGTACAAATTAGTCATTTTAACGGACAATCAACTTTTTTTCTTACACTAAATGAATAAAAATTTAATTATAACGATGAATAAATTTAAAAGCTACCCATTTTATACGATGTAAACTGGTTTTGAACAGTTTACGTTTTTTTTTAATAAACCGCTTCGCGGTTTTTAAAGCGTAAACTGCCCCAACCCAGTTCATAGCGTGTAAAATGAGTAGGTATTAAGTTCATTCCATAAATATAATATCTGCAAACATCAACATGGAATTTCATAGTACACCTATATTCTTTTAAATAAAAATCAATATAAAAAACAACTTAATATAAGTTGAGCTCAAAATATGACTAACCTGTTTACGGCTCTCAAAACAAACCTAGCTCTCAAAATAAGGAAATTGACTTTTTTTATCATCAATTTGAAAAAAAAATATAGATGTTTGGAGGAAAAACTGATATCAACTTCAATTCAACATTTTGTAGATCTATTGGTTGATATTTTGATCATATTAGCAAATACAATCAAACACTAAGTAGACATACCGGCATACGGTGAAGTCTCTTTATGAATGAAAAATTTTGGAATGGGACGTTAAACAATATACAATCAATCAAAAAGTAGAAGGATGATAAAATTGATCCTCCCATTCCATTTTCTACACTGAATTGTTTACATATTTTCCGTTTACCCAATCATGACAAGAAACAAACGTCGCAGTATATATACATCACAGTAACACTCTCGTGTCTGATTACCCTAAAACATGCGAACCTTACCTTTGTAGCTGGACCTATCACAGAATAAGATTTTGATTTCATCGTTGATCCATTTTCGTCTGCATTATATTTCCTTTCAGGTTTATCAAACTGGTGATTGTCGGACATTAATATTCTATATTTATGAAGACAACCAACAAGTTTTTTAAGGTCACATAGCCTCTAGAGGTTTCTAGAAGTGTTTCTTTTCTTTTTTTATTTAGAACAATTCACAGCACAAATCTCAAACAGGTCTATATGTATGCCTACAGATAATCTTTCTTCCCTTTTCATGATATTTTTAACAAAGTCCAGAGATTCTTTTGGACATAATACTATTTGTGTCATTTATAAGAAAGTCGTTGCTTACTCAAATTTATTTGAAATAAACTGCAGGGGATACTTGAAAAAAAAATATCCCACTTTATGCAACAAGCACTACACTGTAGATTTGGCATGAGGGTTACTTGTGTAGTACATGAATAGGAGATATCGTTGGCCATTCACGTTTTTGCCATTTTCAAAATGGCCGCCACGACTTTCAAGATGGTGTTATTTCCTCTATTGTATATTTTTAAAACTTATAAATACTAGTATTCAACAAAAGTCGTGGTAAACAATGTCTATTGATGTTATCAAATAGATTTCACTTTCGTGCTTAATGTTTTGAAAATTTTTGTATACTAAAATGCTGATCGTTGCTTTGCAAATCATGCATTCCTTTACTTTTTGATTAAATGTTTACGTCAGTTCCGCATTTTTGTTCATGTAACTACTGAAAAAGAAGAAAAAGGCTTCTTTATTGTTTTTCATTGGAGATTGCAGCTTATGAAGAAAATAGTAAAGAGGTAAATCTTTTTTTCTAAAGTTGTAGTCTTTTGATAAAGATGTAGTGAGTTGGTTACTTAAAATGATCAATTATAATTAAATTATGAATGATATATTTAATTTTTGGGGGAATGAATTCTATTTACCTTGCTGCTATTGACTGTGCTGTTGTCCTACGTGTCAAGATGTGGTATAAACGTAGCGATAACGCAAAGTCCCAAAAATGCAAAACTCAGGATGAATTATAATAATCTAAATGAGGGTAGGCAGAATCACTCTGTTGTAATATTTTTAGTTTGTCATATTTTCTTTTCTATGTTTCCAATTCTTTGAATATCCTTAAAGTAATAGTTTTTCACATTACTGACAATCCCTTTTTCAATACATGCAATAGAAAGGGAAAAGTAATTCTTTTATCTGAATCTTGTAATTTGTTTCAACAAATTTACTTTGTTAAAAACCATTCTGATTCTTCGTAAACGTAATCTGATGCTTGAGTTTCTTATTGATAATATCTATGCTCTGGAGACCTGGTTTTCCAATGTTTTGTTAGAATTTCTAAGGGTATTTCAAAACTGTAACCGATCATAAGAAGACAAGCATCTCTGTTTTCTCTACATTTAAAGCAGGATTAAAAAACTTTCTACGTGAAAAGAAAGAGTATTTTGTAGTTGCTTTCAGTTCGCCAATTAGTTATCGATAAGTTTAACCTAAGGATATTTATTTTCATTCATACATTAATTCAAAATATCCTATTAAACTGAAGATGAAAGACACATTGGAAAAGCTAATGTATCAGCATACAACAATTCTGTTTTTAAAACGCCAGACAACATTTAGTTAACGGCAAAATTTATATGCTAAAAGATCATTATATTAACCATTTGCAAAATGACTTCACACGCAAGTGTTGAGAGAATCTGACAAAAGAAAAATTGAAGTATTATAAAAATTTCTTGCAAAAATGTCTTTCTCTTGCAAAATGCTCATGTATAAAAGAGATGTGTTGCTTTATTTGTGATTAAGATATATGGATTCAAGGTAGGTATTCAAATGAAGATCGTTAGGCTAATAAATCACCGTCGATATATCTTAATGTTGAATCGAAGACAAAAGAGAGTAAATTTTATCTAAAAAAGTTATTATTTCTGATTCATATATGAATACAAATGCATATTCCAACAGATTGTTAGAAGACAACAACTACATGAACTACATAGATATTGTAATTCAGAAATTCGAGTATCTTTTAATATCAAAATTGTACTATTCTGTATTCAATCAGAATATTTTAACAGAATAAATTTGCAGAGAACCAGTGACAAGATACTTATATTTACAACTTCGATTTTATTGGAAAATCAGCTGTCTATGATGTCGAGAATTAATCCCGGACTTTAGTTTGGTCAAAATAATGACCTTGTTTGCAAATTCAGGTAGATCAAATGGCACTGTCATTTCTTATCAATTGTTAAGCCCTTAATTTTAATATTGAATTGATTGGATTTTTCTGTTTACCTGTCCATGACAACATGTCAAAGGACACACTGTAGACGTGACCGACCAGTTTCTTATTTTTCCATGTCACTTGATCATACCTCTTATATTTACAGAGAGCTGTGTTTGTTCTGATCACCACTCTTATGTTGTTTTAAAGGTCTTTTGCGAGAAAAAATAATTTGCGTTTTCTTCGTATTTGGTAAAGTTATTTTCATTCCAAAATTTGCTAAATGAATGTATGGAGATAACGAACAGTATTCAAGATCAAAAGTCCATTAAACAAAACAAAATAGGAGCATAGCAAACATGGACCTCTAAATCATCACAGCTGGGATCGGGTACCATTGGGGAGTGAGTATTCCCTGCCGACCGACCTGCTCCTTATCATGATTGGGAAATGACGGGAAAAATCCGTCGTCAATTCAGTGTGTAAATAATGGTCTATCAATAAGTATGAAAATTGTCAGTCAGCATTTGACTGTATGATTAATTGTATTTGCTGATAAGGTCATTGTATCGACCATAAAAGTTACAAAATGATGACTTTAAACAAGACTGCTGAAATTCCTGTTTCATCAACTTGTTTGTCAATAATTCACCTCATTTAAGAAATTGTACATATGTAAAGCATGCTCTTGCGTATCGAATCAACTGCGAGATCAATATAAACCTCGTATGCAGGTAACGAATGTATTTTGCTGCATAAGTAAGGGAAGTTGACGATTGAAAAGTTAAAAGTCATCACGTTTATCAAAAATCTTGGTTTTTAGATTACCATTGACGTCTCCTTCAAGTAAATATCCAAACATGAAACAGATGTGTCAGACTCTGTGGTATCTTATCTCAAGCTCACCGGGATATATCGTACCACAGCAAGTGTTACCTTCTTTTCACGTATAAGATTTTAGACAATGTCTGCTTCATATGAATACAAAAATAGGTCTGCTAGTAATGGGGCGCAATTATTACCCATGGGAATTCCAATAGATTGTTGGAAGAACTGGTCTCCAAAAACCACATAGATATTTTCAATCAGAAACTCAAGCATCTTTAATTTTTAATGTCTTTTTAAAACTTCACAATACTTATGTGTACAATCAGAATGTTTTAACCAAATAATTTTATAATTTTGCAAATGACCAATGTCAAGATTAGTAATTGAATTTAAAAGTTCCATTTTTATTGAACAATAAGCAGTCATTGCTATCAATAAGCCTGGACTTTAATTCATCATAAGAAATGGTTGTGCATAAAGTTGAAAAGTGGCAAGTCTTTAAGCTTTTGAATTTGATTTTTTTATAATTCTTTATTTTTGTTTTACACATCTAATTTAATGCAATAATATATTAATAACAAATACAGAAGGTGAAATTTTTTCTTCACAACTGAATATCTTAGAGAGAAGTAGAGAGGAGAGAAGAGACTTGGGTTGAGAGATTTAGAGGAATGCATTCACTGTGTTTTATATCAGTTTAAAATTTTGAAATAAAAGCTGTGTTCCAAGGTATCAAACATTTTTTCCTTATAAAAAAAAAGCTATTTTGATAAAATAAAGATAAGAAGCTTTGTAGTCACATTTGTACTGAGTGTTATACTACAATTAATCAATTAAAAAACCACAGTTAAGCAACATTAAATTTTTCATTTTAATAATGTGTAATTTGTAAACTTTTTAAATATGGTTACACAAGTTTTTACCATAAATTTCCACAAAAAACGTGGCGCTCTTTTGAGAGAGGTACAAATTAGTTTCTGGAAAAGGAACATAAACATTATTTTGCCTTTGAATTTATAACTAATGACAAAATAAAATGGTAGTTACAAATGAAAATAAAGTAACAAATACTTAGAAACAAGAAATAGTCAATAACGATAAGCAAATTATAATCAAGTTATAAATTAAATAGATTTTTATTAATGGAGATAAAGTTAGGGTTTTCGTAGTTTACATGTCTTTTAATCTTCAATCTTTATCAACCACAGCTAACTAAACATTTAAAATTTTCCATATTTTGTAATGAATAAAATTGTCCCAGTAAACGACCAAACGCGACGTTAATTCTAAGTTTTAACAATTGGTTCATTACAAATAATTTCACATTAAACAAGTTATAACAAAAAAAGTCATAACAAGTAAGTCAATGTCCTTCCAGGGCATCTGTAATTTTGTCTATTTCATCACTAAAGAAAAAAAAAACAATAACGTTCTGGTGTATAGATTTATTATTTCAAAATCATTCACAAATTATATCAAATTGTGCATCAAACTTTTTGTTAGTGTTAAATAAGTGGCAAATCAAAACGAAGGAAGTTGATACATAGAAGGAATATCACATTTTTGACATTCAATAAGATTTCGAGACATTATATATAATATAGCAATACGCTGATTGTGAACGTATCAGTTTTTACTTGTTTATTATGAAACATTTTATATTAAAAAAACAAATTAAATGATTTCTTTGATTTTTAGTATCGAAAATATTGCCGAAGCTGTTGCAGAAAAAAGACAAAACCCGCTAAATAATAAAATGCTTTCTTTGATTAGTATGGAAATTAATGTCTCGGTTGTTGCAGAAAAAATACATAACCCGCGTAAGCGGGTTATGTAATTTTTTTCCGCAATAGCTGCGACGTTAACTCCCGTACCTACAACCAATGAAAGCATTTTGTTCTTTATATTGACATTTGTATTAAAAATCATTTAATGTAATATTAATTTGTTTAAGTAGCGTATTTAAGATGAAAATGAAATTGTATTCATAACTGATGGAACAGCTTTTGTTCAAGAAATTTACCCACGTGGCTTACTTAGTGTTGTTCATGCACTGATTAATGGCAATGGTCTTCATAAAAAATAAAGGAAAAACTTTTCAGTGTAAGTAAATATAATATTTTGTATGCAATAGCTACGACGTTAATTTCCGTACCAACAACCAAAGAGAGACATTTTATTGTTTATATTAACACCAATCCAAGTGATGCTTTTCTAATCTTTCTAAATAAATCTCGAGAGGGAGACGTTAA